TATTCTATTCTATTCTATTCTATTCTATTCTATTCTATTCTATTCTACTCTACTCTACTCTACTCTACTCTATTCTAATCCTACCCTACCCTAGCCAGTTTGATTTGATTTGATTGTATGTTTTAAAGCACAGGGGTCCAGACTGTAAAACCTGACTTGGTTTAAATCCATTTTAATGTACATTCAAATGGTAAAAGCCATTGCAAGAACATGAAAGAGTTAAAGGTGTACATTCTTGTAAGAAAATATTCACTTCCTTTCAGACTTTTAGAATGTTCACATTATTTACTCTACTAAAACGTATCAGAGCTTTATGGGATCATATTGATATTATGAGTCTGTTGTTATTGAAACCATTCGGTCATGTCCAACTCTCAGCAATATTATAGGCATGTTACCCTGTTAAGCACAATTTCTTTCAGTTGTTGGATATTCATCTTTGTATCAATTTTGATGTTATCAAGCATGTTCCTTGCTTGTCCCTTCTTCTGGGTCCTCTAATCATCCCTAACATCACTGACTTCTCCAAAAAATTTGTAAGCATGACATGGCCAAAGTAAAACAGACATAGTCTGATACTGATACATAGTTTGATAGGAGTCTAAGTGAACAAATGATATTACTTCAGGGGATTTATTTCAATTATTTCATTCAGATGAAAGTTCAACTTCAAATGTTTATCAGTATAGAGAAAAGCAGCCTATGATAGTGTCTGATTTAGGCACAGTGATATGGACGGATAAATATTTAGATTTAATTGTAGTTAAAATATCATAGTTGGGGATCTGTTATAGATTGAAGCTGTGTTCAGGTATGCTAGGTAATATGAATTTTAAACACTGGAAATATGCAACTCTGCAACGCTCTTTGTGTTTCAAATTTGGAAGCTGGGATGGCATTTCTTTGTGATACTGAAACCTGCTGAGAATAAAGTTTGAAATTAGATTCCCTACTGGTAAGGAAGATAATTGGGCAGGTTTTTCTTTGGATTAACTTGCCTAAATAATATGGAAGCACAATAAACTCAATACTATTTGGATTAATTTCTGCAATAAAACTGCACACTTTGCTTAGGCAATCTCTGCCTAGGCCATCTGTTTCTGATATGAGTAAGATAACTTGCTGAATCTCTTTTGGGGACATAAGTAAATGCTAAGCTTTGGGAGGATTACTTTAAGAGATGCAAAACAAACTCTGCCACAGTTTTCATGGAAGATGACTTGTGGGTTCTCTTGAGGTAGAAAGAGATGAAGCCAGAAGTATCTGGGAGATGGCAGAGATAGCATGGCAAAGCCTCACTTTCTTTGCACTTGATGGATTGCAAAGTGGAGGATCTATGTTAATGCTTTATTTTACTACAATGGGGGGAGTCAGAAGTCAACACCTTTTTTTTCCTTTTCTCCCTCCCCTTCGACTTCTCTTTCCCCTTCTCTCCCCTCCCCTTCTGTGTTTTCCTATTTGCTTTTGTAGTTTTGTATTTTATTCTATAATCTAATAAAATGTTTAAAGACAGAAAAACTGAAACAAACTGTTAAAAATGTTTTTTTGGATCCTCTTCTAGGATGGACTGAAACTTTGCTTGTAGAGTGACCTAGGGTATATGTTATTGAATGTGTAAAAAGCTAGCATTGGCTAGAATGCCTAGGAAATCTATGGAATGTGTGAAGGTCTATGGAGATTCTCACTCGTCCAGGTCACAGTTGTCTCAAAGATACTTTTTCAAAAGGAAACTGGACTTCTTCTTTTTTTCCTTCAAGATGTTTTACTTCTCATCTAAGAAGCTTCTTCAGTTCTGACTGAGTGGTGGAGGAAGGTACTGACAGCTGAGACTAGATGGTGTGGGGATGGAAAGATAGGTTCTAACAGGATGGGTGTGTGTGTGGAAGAATTGTATTTCTTTGCATTGTATTTCACTGGTCGTTAGCAATTCTCTCTAAGAGCCATTGAGGCCACTTGGGAGTTTATTTGTGCTCTTGGGGTCACCCAAATCAGAGTACAAATGGTTGTGGAATCTTCTTGGATTTGGATGGCCAAAAGGATTGCATTGTAGGTGGTACAGAATTTGTTACATTTCTTGGCAAAGTATGAAATTTCTATGTTATTTTAAAATGCTATATATCTGGACTTTCTTTTTTTTTCTTTGAAGACTTTTTGCTTCTCATTCAAGAAGCTTCTTCAGCTCTTACAGATTAGTGGGGAATGGAAGGATTTATATTCCTTGCAGACAGCTGGTCATTTGAACTTTTAGAGAGTTGTTGAAGTACTTGGAGGTTTATCTGTGTCCTCAGGGTCATCTGAGTATTTCTCCTGGTTCCTGTAGTCTACATTTTTTTCCTCTGGAAATCTGTTCCTACACCCACACCATTCAAAGGTTGTTCAGTTGCCTCCTGAAAAAGCACCTTTGGGACAACCATGACCTGGATGACTGAGAATCTCTACAGACCAAAATGCTATATATTTTCCCTTGGCATTGTATATAGCAGGGGTCATCAACCTTTTGGACCTCAGGGATCACTAAACTCATAATTTTAAATCCCACGGACCACTAATATGAACTTTGATTGTTGGTGGCATGCTGACATTGGTGGGAAAGTCAGTCCTATATTCCAGAGCTTCAGTAGTCACAGGACTGGCCCTTTGGTCATCCCAGAGCAGCTGCTCCTCCACCCTGGAGCACCGGCCTGCCATGGACTGGAGAACCTGCTCCAGGATGACCAAAGGGCCAATCTTGTGACTACTGCAGCTCTGGAATATGAGAATGACTTTCCCACCAATGTCAGCAAGCCAACTCAGGGCGGATTTCCCTCCTTCACAGTTGATCTTATCTTCCAGTTCCAGCTCATGTGGCTCTACTCAAGGTAAAGTTTGTGCTCGGCCAAAGAGTGGGGGCCAGCGAGTGGATGGGCCACGTGGGCGGTGCATCCTTGCGTTCCCATGCAGCCTGGATTAATTGCTTTGGTGGGGATATTTCTTTGAGGACCACCAAAATTTTCTTGTGGACCACCAGTGGCTACCACTAGTTGGCTACCACTGCACCTAGGCATTATGCAGACTGTCAAGAACTATTTAGGCAAAGTATGAAAAGAGAGTCATGAAGGGTTAGGTTTGCAGACATTTATGAAAATCAAAGAAGAAATGCAAAATAATGTACAGGACGTTTTTACTAGAAAAAAGACTAGCGTTGCCTACTTGTTGCAACAAGAAAGACTAGAATGGCATTTTAGTGGGGATGTTTTATACTTTAGTAGTTGCCTTTTGGCATTGCATAGAATACCTAGGAAATGTATGACATATTAAGCATTTCATACTTTGATGCCCCATTTTTGGCTTTCTATAAAATGCCTAATTTCACATGTTGACAGTTACATACACATCTTCTTCCCATCCAACTTTTACCATTTACTGCATTGTGGTCATTTCCGCACTTATTCTACATGCATTCTCTTTTCACAGCCATACTTTCTTCTTCCTTGCTCTGTCTGTTGGAAAGTATCTAATGAAATTAGGCATGCTTTTTTTAATATCACTGCTTACTATATTTTTGTGATGACCTGGGGCATGGCATAGAGGCAACACAGGCAGCTGGCAGTTCAAACTGCCCCTTTATTGCTCCAAATTTTCCCCAAACACTCCCATGTTTCTGGCAAGTCCCAGAGCCAAGGGATCACACACACAGAAACACACCTCAAGCAGCCTCTGGCTGAAAACAGTCCAGCCCAATACTGTGAGCACCATGGCTGCAATCAAGAAAATCAGCAGGGAAGAATCTAGAAAGTCAAGAAGCAAGGCAAGAATCGAAAAATCAAGAAGGAATCCATGTAAGTTTGAACATCAGCACTCTATGAATTCAGTGTTTACTCCTGACAAATGCCCCTCCCTACAGCATCTCTTTAAGTCTCAGTCCCCAGGTGTGCCTTGTGAAGAGGAGTGAGGCACTCTCCTCCTGCGTAGATGAGTCAGTCAATGCTGTTCATGTCTTCTCTCCACTTTCATGGATCATGAGGGGGCAGTCCCTGTTCATCACCTGAGCTCTGTCTCTCATGTTCCCTGCTTAACCTCTCTTCGTCATCCTGCCCCTGTTCCTTCCTGCCTACAAGCCATCCTAATCCTGAAAGGCCCTGGCCTAATTGGGCTTGGTGCTCACCATCTTCCTCCAAAGCCAAGGAAGCTACCCCCTCAATCTCTGTTGACTCCAATTCCAGCTCATCTTCTCCCACAGATTCAGGGTCTGACAGGGGCATGACAATTTTTAAGGTGAATTGGAATCCTGCTCTGCTTAGATTTGACTGCATTTCTATTGTTCAATACCCAGCTTCTTCTTTTTATAAATACTTCTTCTTTTTTTAGAATCTGGATGTGTTTTCTTTCTCTTATGGCCAAATTATATTGTTGCTAGAGGAAATGAACTATGGGCAATGTTACAGAAGCAATTTGCCTAAATCCCAAGTGCATTTTTTTTTTTACATTTTAAAATCTCTTCTTGACTTCCAGTAAATTTAAGGGATGCTAAAGAGCTTATTTAATAAGTGCAAATTCTTTTGGTAATGTGCCAGTTTTTTAAAACTTTACAGTGAGAAAAAAAGAAACAGCCTCCAAGTACAGAGGCAGAAGATTGTTTTTTGAAGGATCAGCTTTTCAGAAATTTGAATTTAACTTTTAGTAGAATTTGTAATGCTGAATTAGAAATATTCTCTTTGGAGGGGAGGACAGAGAGCAGTTTTCTATTTTCCCTTTTTAAATATTCTGATTTTAGAGAGGTTTACTGGTATACACTGTTGTGTAACAAATCAGATTGAATCCTAAATACTACTGACTTATACAAGTGAAAACAGTCATATAATTAGTTTTTTGGACAGTCATATAATTGGCTTTTTGTTGAAAATTTTTTATCATGAAATAGAAATATGACATGAAATATGTCACCCATATTTTAATTACAAACCAAATCAGCAACTTTTCATTCAATAACTGAATATTATTATGCCACAACATTTTAATGTCCCTTTTCATTAAATTATAGAATTTAATTAAGAATTTGGCTTTTGACTTTTCTTTCCAAGTGTTTATAGTTATTGCATGGAACTGTTTTGTAGGATTCACATATCTCAGTTTAATATGTCATCTTGAAAACTATCACACAAACTCAGGCACAGACACATACATACTAGCAGTGATGTCCAGTCAAATTTAAGCAGCACTGGATTCCAATTCACCTTAAAAATTGTCATGCCCCCATCAGACCTTGAACCTGTGGGGGAAGACAAGCTGGAATTGTAGTTAAAAAAGTCAAGATGATAATCATGAAAGTATGATCAAAATGCCAACAATTTTTAATGTGCATTATATGCACACTACAAAACACAGAGACCTATCTGAAATACACATCAAGGTTAAATATCTGTGAATATTCTGAGTCATTCAGGTCATAGTTGTCACAAAGATGCTCTTTTTATCAAAAGGCTCGTTCTTTTTTTTTTTCCTGAGAAGAAAAACATTTCTTTTTTCCTCCTCCTCCTCCTCCTCCTCCTCCTCCTCCTCCTCCTCCTCCTCCTCCTCCTCCTCCTCCTCCTCCTCCTCCTCCTTTTGAAAACATCTTGAGTGAACAAGAAAAGCCTGTAACATAAATAAATAATCCAACAGCTCAGTTTTAATCTTAGATGTTTCACATAAAATCTGTTGCTTTGTTTATATGAGTTTGCAAGGCCTTTCAAGCAAATGAAGTTTTGACTTATGGACTGAAAGTGCCATCACTTGATCCTCCTTCCTCCTGAAAGAAACAACATCAGTCCTTTTGGAAGGAAAAAAAAATCTGAGTTAATTTAACTATCTATACATATGTGTTTGTGTATGTAAATATTCTTTCCTCCATTAGAAATAACTTTACTTTGCATATAACACCAAATAAGGCTTATGCTAATAATAAGAATTGGATCTGCTACTAAAAAGAATAGCGGTTTGGAGCCATCAAATGCTGTATTGGTGTCTACGAATGGTTGAGATATGTGTACTATCATGAATACATTATGTTTAACATATCAAGATATTACACCATATCTGAAGAACTGAGAAATAGAGAATTGCCATTTTCAAAACAGCCTATTCATTCTGAAATCCAAATTTGCAATTTCTCAGCACAGGTTCCTTCATTCAGATAGAAAGAAGGAAGAATCATTTCAAAGCTTGCCATATTTAGCAGAAAATGCAATATGTACAAGCCCAGCACATCATTCTGAAACAATGGTCTTTGGACCATAAGTTAAAATGACCAACTTTACACCTCTCATAGATTTTCAGCACTTGATATTTTAAGCAATTCTATTCACAAAAAGCTGTAAAAATGTTTGCAGATGATTCAAATGCAGTGCAACTGAATGGGCTCATTTATAATTTACTTACTAGGCAAGCATTTTGAGGTATATAATTTTATTAAAGCTTTTAAACAAGAAGATACAAGCTAACGCAAACTAATATATAGTAAAGTGGAAAAAAAAAAGAAAACAAAGAAATCAAAGAAAAACCAAAAAGTGTGAGAAAAGAAAGTTAAAGAAAAACAAAACGGAAAGAAAAAAAAGATATAAAGAAGTAGCTTTTAATTTTACTCACAGTAGTTATAAGTAGAATATATATTTAACCTCCATCTCTAAAGTCACATCATATTACTCTTGTTTTTATAATGTATCCTGCCTAATCATCAAACCATAAATCCCAAGTTTATTTTTTTTCATTTTCAAATAAAAAGTCAATAAGAAGCTTCCAGCCACTAATAAAAATAGATAATGTCTTTTCCCCAATCAAAGAAGTCAATTTATTCATTGACTTGTGGCACTGTGTCTTTTGGTGAACTAGCAAAATGCACCAGATTCATTAATCGGTAATGCATAATTTAACAACAATTTCTTTTGCACAGCCCAGCAAATGCAGTAATTAATGAGGAAAATGGAAAGCATGTTGGGGGGAATGATAAAATACACAAACACTAACTTAGGCAAAAAGTTATTAAAGCCCCTTGTTTTTAAGATAAGTTGCTGCTGAATTGCACTTTCTACCTACTCGGTGCTATTTGTCTAACATATTTATTTTCTTAAATGTTTCAGTAGATATTTGTTCTAAGAGAGTAACATTTTCACACCAGGACAGGCTAAATATGATTAATCAGTAGCAATTTTACTTAAACTACATACGTGATCACAGACACATGTATCAGGAAAAAAAGAATAATAGTTGGCAACACAATCATGCAAAGTGTTTCCTAGCTGTAATATCAACACAATTGGAAGGAGTCAGAGATCATTACTGCTAATAAAAAAAAGCAGAATTTATAGTTTTGTCACTTCCCCTATTCATAATAGCAGTCAATATTTGGCTAGCACCTGTAAATGTTCCCCTAGCAACCATTATTCCTTGCCAAGAGATTTAAATCTGTTCCAGCCGTGTAGATTAAAAGTAAAGCTTCATCCTAGAATAGTTCTTAAACATATATGCTATAAAAATTAACAACAACAGCAACAGCAACAAAAACAACAATAACAACAACAACAATAATATCTGAAGGACAATGAAGAAGATGCACTGAAGTTATTATGCAAGGAAGACTTGCTGACTACAAGAGAGACCAGTACATAAAAAAAAAAAAAAAGTAGGGAAAGCAGATTATAACAATACCCGGCAAAGGCTAAGAGCAGGAAAGTTAAAGAAAGAGACCAGGGGATTAATTCTGGCTGTGCTTGCTCTGGGACTTCAGAATCCAGACAGACAGGCACCTGCCACATAACACCCCAGACTTAACAGTTGTCAGTAAGAAAGACACAAAAGTCTGGATAGTGAAAGAACTGGAGAAGATAACAAAATACAAAGACCTACAAATAGAATAGAACGACTATGGCAAAGGCAAGCAAGGGTAGTATAAATAGTAATAGATGCCTTGGGTGCAGTTCCAAAATAACTGGAGCACCACTTGAACATCTAGGCATTGACAAATTTGCCATCAGTCAATTGCAGAAGGCAGCTTTACTTGGAACAGCTTCCATCCTGCGGCAATATCTGTAACACCATCAAACATCCAGATTTGCCTATCCCAGGTCCTTGGTAAGGGCTCGACAGGTAGACAAAAATGCCAAACCCAGTCTGAACATCTGGCTGACTATGTCAATAACAACAACAATAATAATAATAATAATAATAATAATAATAATAATAATAATAATAATAATAATAACAGCAACAAATGATAAATAAACAAATAAGTCAGCCTTATCAGAATGGTGATATCTGAATTTGAACTTATTGTGTTGGCATTACATTCTAAGATCATTTGTGCCTTCCTGGCACAATCAGAAATGATATAATGGCTGTCTGCATTATAGCCATTTTGGCATAATGATGTTGAGTCAAGTCTAGAAAATATCATAAATAACTAGTGAGGAAATAACCTCACTCTCCATTATCCAGAGAGAGACAAAGTAAAAAGTCTATGATTGTTCACATTAAAGAAGTGAAAAGCTAATACAATCCATTGAACCCATAGTACTGGGTACTTTTCCTCCCTGATATGCACATAGTCTTACAATTCTGATATGTGATAAAATTAATTAGCTGGCTATTCATGCCAATGTCAATACTGAAATTGCAACATTCTGTAGCTTAACTATCCCAAGAAGCAGGAAAAAAAAATTGAATTTATGAAGTGATATACAAGGGTACAAAAAGCTTACCAACTAGAAGTCAAAGGCCAGCTACCTCATGAGCACCAAAAACAGAGATGGCAAGACACCATCAACAAAGATATGCAAGCCATGGGCCTGGGTCCTGGAGACACAGCTGACTGTGCAAAGTGGTGTTCAATGATCTGAAAAGCGGACTCTGCACTTGCGGGAATATGCTAGGAAAAAGAAGAAAATATACAAGGGTACAAAAAGCTCTGCATGAAACTGATCCACAGAGGGATGGTAGAAACAAGGAGAAATAAATAAATAAACAATATTAGATTCTTAAAGTCACTGAGGATCCTGCCCAGAGTTTTCCCTTTTCAATGCACTATCAATCAAAGGACAAAGAAACAAAGAGACTAAACACTTCCACTTTTTATTACACATCTGTCCAGAAATTAGAGATGATGACCAGCTAGTGAGGCTGCTTAAAACTAGGATAGGAAGAAAGGGTTAAGAGGGGAGGATACAAACAGAAATGCTAGTAATTTGTAGTAAGAATTTGAATGCTCACCTGCTGGACAGGGACTAATTTCAACAGCTTCAGGCTTGATTTGCAGCTTGTACTTCACAATCCCATTTCAATATATTTCTGATTTATTCCAGATTCCTGGCATGCATGTCTCATAAAATATAGAAGGCTGTCTAGCACACAACCAGACTGTATCCAAAATGAATTAGTTAATAGGTGCAGTTCAGCAAAGCTATTTCATAGATTCATATAGGTGAAGAACTATATTTCAATGTTACTAAATTCTTTAAAAGATACATGGTACAGAAGGCCACTAAGAGTATATATATGTTTTCAGTTCACAAAACAAAATATAAGGGTGTGACATACTTTTCTTGTGAACATTGGTGATGCCATTTTTTTTTTCTTGGCATGCACAGAAAGAACATCAGAAATAATGAAAATTATAATCATGCACAAATCAAAATGTCTTCACCTACAGATTTCCCCTAAGTTCTCAAGTCAAGTCCATGTCTGAGTTTTACAGAATTCATATAAACTCAATAAGTTAAGACAAAGTACCTTTAAAAATGCGCACTTTGAGAATATGCATATGGATACACTCAGCACACATACAAGTGTGTCACATGATACATTTCTGAACTTGCAGAAACAACAACCATAATTAAATTTATTTATTTATTTATTTATTTTATTTGATTTGTCAATTGCTTACAAGATAGTAGGTATAAGTATATACATAGTTATGAATACATGAAATGGGTACATATAAGAAAAATAAAAGAAACAATAGGACAGGGACATTAGGCATGTTGGTGCACTTATGTATGCCCCCTACAGACCTCTTAGGAAAGGGGTGAGGTCAACAGTAGACAGTCTAAGGTTAAAGTTTTTGGGATTTGGGGAAGAAACTACAGAGTCAGGTAGAGTATTCCAGACATTGATCACTCTGTTTCTGAAGTCGTATTTCCTGCAATCAAGTTTGGTGCGGTTAACCTTGAGTTTGTATCTATTGTGTGCTCTTGTGTTGTTATGGTTGAAGCTGAAGTATTCATTGACAGGTAGGACATTGCAATGTATGATTTTATATACCATACTTAGATCAGACCGAAGATGGCATAATTCAAGGTTTTCTAGGTCTAGAATTTCAAGTCTGGTGGCATAAGGTATTCTGCAATGAGTAGAGGAGTGGAGAACTCTTCTTGTGAAATATTTCTGGACTTTCTCAACTTTCTCAATATCAGATACGTAATGTGGGTTCCAGACTGATGAGCTGTATTCGAGTATTGGTCTAGGAAATGTTTTGTATGCTCTAGTTAGTAGTGTAATATTACCAAAGAAAAAGCTACATAGGATTAGGTAAACAACTCTTAATGCCTTTTTGGCTATGTAGTTACAGTGGGCTCTAGCTAGCACTTCGATCATTAGAGATGAGTATTCCAAGGTCCTTTACAGAGCTTGGATCATCAACAAAATTTTGACTATTCAGCTTGTATTTTATTTTCTGATTTTTTTTCCAATATGTAAGACAGAGCATTTATTTGTTGAGTTTTGAAGTTGCCATTTGTTTGACCATTCTGATACATAGTCAAGATCTTTTTGAAGGGTAGCAGTATTGTCTGTGGTATTGAACAGCTTTACATCATCAGCAAAAGAACACAGTTGCCCTTAATATGAACACAGAGGTCATCTTTGTAGAGAATGAAGAGAATTGGTCCTAGAACACTGCCTTAGGGGACACCACTATTGACAGGTACAGAATTTGATAGGACACTCCCAATTTTGACCATTTGTTGTCTGTCTGACAGGAATGCTTCTATCCAGTTATGCAGGTGTCCAGAGATACCATAAGATTTTACTTTTAGGAGTAGTTTGTTGTGTAGCACTGAATCAAAGGCTTTACAGAAGTCTATGTAGACTGCGTCTATTGCTTTGCCCTGATTGAATTGTGTAGTCCATATGTTTTTGCAGTGTAAGAGTTGCAGATTAGAGGATAGTTTTTTCCTGAAACTAAATTGTTTATTGGAGAGTAGGTTGTTTGTCTCTAAGTGGAGGATAATGGATTGGTTAATAATTGATTCCATGACTTTACAGGTGTCGCAGCGTAAGGAGATTAGTCTGTAATTTTCAACTAGGCTGGGGTCTCCCTTTTTGAAGATGGGGATGACCATGGCTTGCGACCATGGGTTAGGCAAGGAGCTGGTCCTGAAAGATTTTTCAAAGATTATGCTCAGAGGTTCAGCTATGGCAGTGGATAGCTTTTTTAAGGAGTTGGCACATATTCCATCCAGTCCAATAGATAGAGATGGTTTTAGATTGTGTTGTGCCTTTTCAACATTGTCTTCTGTATAATCAATATGCATTAGATCATTGTAGTTGTCTGTGGTTCGGCTAGGAAATACTGGGCATGATCCATTGCTGTTTACAAATACTGAGCCAAAGAATGCGTTAAAGATGTTGGTTTTAATGCTGTCGTTGTTGCAGTCTTTACCATTAGGTCCTATCAGGGGTGGGATGGACCTTGAGTCTTTTAGTTTGTTGTTTACAAAATTGTAAAAAGCGCGGGTGGAATTGGTGCATAGAAGGTTTTCCTCTTATTTAATGTGATAATTGGTGCATTCAGTCTTTATCTGGTGGCATAAATTTTTGTATCGGCTTTTGAAATTGACAACGTGACCAGATTTGTTTTTCCGCCAGAGTGATCCATTTTGGATTGAAGTTTCCTTATTGTTATGGGTAATCTGTTTTGTTTGTTTTTTTGCTTTGGGAGTTGTTGTTGGTACATATAGTTTGATGGCTCTTTTGACTTCAAGTAAAAATATGTTGTAATGGTCTTCAACAGTATTGCATCCAGTGAATAGAGATTGCCAATCAAGGGATGAGAGATCGTTGTCTATAAGATCATAGTTTCCTTTTTTGAAGTTATAATTGGGGATTACTTCATTGTGATAATTTTTGTGTGGGCGTATGTTGAGACAAAAGTCAACCATATTGTGGTCACTGCTGGAAAAGGGTTCTTTAGTTTGTATTCTGTAAATTAAATTCAAACTATTGCAGAAGATGAGATCGAGGCAGTTGTTTAGTCTAGTGTTGTTGGTTACTAGTTGTTCCAGTCCCAGATTTGTAACAGCATTGTAGAAGGTTGCGTGTATGGGTTAGTTGTACATTCATTTAGGGTCCAGTCAATATGAGGTAGATTGAAGTCCCCAAGAAAGATAAAAGCGTGTGGGCAGGATGCTGCCCATGTTAGTAATGTATTTAGCTTGTTTAGATGTTTGATGTCATAATCAGGTGCTCTGTAACATAGTAAGAATCAAAATGTGATATTTAAGGATAGTTCGCAGATGATGGAGAAATTCAGGTATTTTATTCGCAAGGCTTCTTGCATTGAGTTGCTTGTATTTAAGGCCAGCAGTAGTTGGAATTGATGTAGTTAGGGGCATGCATGCCTAGTCTTGGGTGATAATGGATTGGTTGAGGTAGGGTTGTGGTTGAAGGTTAAAGCTGAGTTGCGGGTTGCAAATGATTGTATACAAATTAGATATAATCCACATCTAATTTGTATACAATTAAACGTCCCATGTCTATATTGTATTTCTTCAAACTTCCCATGTTTTTCTTCAAAGTTCCCATGTCTATATTGCATTTTTATGCATTTTTTAATTGCATACTTACCGTTCATGTGCCCAATTAAAATAATGCCCTAAGCATGTTTCTTTTTTCATGTTCGTCTTTGTTCTGTGCCTTCCTGTCTGGCCAATTAACTAGTTATAGCTTACTTACTTTTCTTTTCTTTTTTTCATTCCTAGGTTCCCATGACATTAGACCTGTTCCTTGAAGCAGAAATCTGTTTCTCTGGTGGTTTGGAGGAGATGTGAACAGAGAGGCAGACAACTCAATCTATTCTGAAACAAATCTAAATATACTTATATACAATACGAAGACTGTTCAGTAATTTGTATTTTAATAGTGCATTCCTACACAGGTGAATCTGTCAGTAAGCTTCATTAAATACCATGAGTATTTTAGTTTATTCTATAGCACAGGCATAAAATTGTGTTGTAAAAAAATAATCTATGTACTGTATTTCTAGTTCCAAAGAAATGTAATTTGATCTGTGCAATTAACAAACCCAGTAATTACAAGTATGCAGAGATTTAACAAAGCATGGAGAAATATTTATTTTATTTGTATTTATTTATTTTTGTCAAGAGCTTACAATACAATAGAAATAAGAATAAACATAGTTTAAATGTAAGAAATGGGAACCAATAATTGGGGACAATAGGACAGGGACAGTAGGCACGATTGTGTGCTAATGCACACCTGTTGAAATAACATGGTTCTATTCATAACCATAGTTTTTCTGTCCAGCTCTGCAAGTGTTTCTTCTCAACATCCTTCGATAAAATTTTAGCTTCACTCAGGACAAATCCACATTAAAGCTTATGTTTCTTTTCTTCCTTGCTCATTCACCCATTTCATGAATCAGCTTCAGAAATTCTGTCCTAAATTGCATCGTGTTCACACCTGAGCTTATTTGGTTCCCCCATTTAGATTTTGGTTACCACAAGTCCTGATCAGCTATTCCTCAGTTCCTTGTTCTTCCCATCCAAGTCTCTAGTAATTGCATCAAGCACCTTATTCAGAGAAGATATGTACAGGCAGTTCTCGACTTATGACCACAATCAAGTCCAACATTTCTCTTGCCAAGCGAAACATTTGAACAGTGAGTTTTGCTCCATTTTAGGATCTTTCTTGACATGGTTATTAAGTGAATATGTGCAGTTGTTAAGTTACTAGCAAAATTGTTGAGTGAATCTGGCTTCCCCATTGATTTTGCTAGTCAGAAGGTGATCACCTGACCTGGGACATTGCAGCTGTCATAAATACATGTCAGTTGCTAAGCATCTGAATTTTGATCACATGACCATGGGGTGCTGCAACTGTTGTAAGTGTGTGGACCTTTTCTAAGTATTTTTTGGTACATTTGTATCTGGCACACCTAAACACTATACAGATATTTTACTTACAACTACAACTGAGCCCAATGTTTTTGTTGCTAAGTGAAAGATTTGTTAAGTGAGTTTTGCTTCATTTTAGGACCTTTTTTGCCATGGTGGTTAAGTGAATCACTTCAATTGTTAAGTTAATAACAGAGTTGTTAAGTGAATGGCTTCCCCATTGATTTGGCTTAACAGAAGACTACACTGAAAATGTAACACTAAAAATGTTGTAAATATGCGTCAGTTGCCAAGCGTCTGAATTTTGATCACATAACCAAGGGGATATGGCAATGTGTCAGGGTTCTGGAAGTTACTCCAATTAAATCATGAGCCTTGAGCCACACTCCCAAAACTAAAGACAATTTATTTGAAGATAACATTCTACCATCTGGCACTAATCTGAGTGAAGCCAACTCTGAGATACTAATTCACTGTCAGCCTTTTCCCGCTTTCCCCCACCACTCCTCTGTGTGTATCATCCAACGAAAAACATCCATAGCCAAGACCATCATTCATACTCTCCAATTAGACTTTTTCGGAGCAGAAACTTCAGCCCCCTAATCAGTCTTAGAAAAAAATATGAATGGAATGTACTTTCAATTTACCCTGTTGCCTGCTCTTTCAATCTCCCCTCCCTTCTTTCTGTTGTCAAATGTGTACACAAAATGTTTTATGAGTTGACACAATGTTTGTAAAATGGCTATAAGTCAACAGTTAGTGCCATTTAGTGGTCACTAAATGAACTGTTGTAAATTTCAAACTACTTGTATATATGTACAAACAAAGGACATGACATATACCCTCTTTGACTGCCAACTATACGTTTCAGCCAAATCCAGCATTTAAGCTCACTAATTGATAGGACAGCCTTTCTTTCCGGAAATGAACATTTTTTCTTTTGGAAAATCAATCCTCTCTGCTTCTTAGATTTGTTATTCCCATGGGTATCCCCTTTCCCATTCAAAAATATTTACTTCCTTATCAATGGTGTCTCATTTTACCTGTCCTGTCTTTCTATAACCAACTTTTACTCTTGTTTACTGGAGATAAGCTCTTGTTCCCCATTTTTTTTTGCAGAGATGTTTGTTATCTTGCTATGCTACTTGAAAAGGAAATAATATATTAATAGCTTCCATAGAGACTCTATTAGTCTCTTGCAACAACAACAAAACTATGTTCTTCCTCAAGTATGAATACATTTATCATGCATATCCACAAGAGCTCATAATTTGTTAGATTTGTAATTTGTTAGATATTGGTATGCTACAAGATTCTGAAACTTGCATTAGCTACAAATGTTCAAGAAAGGATGTAATTTGTCCTATCAAAAGAGAGAGAGAGAGAGAGAGAGAGAGAGAGAGAGAGAGAGAGAGAGAGCATTAGTAACTTATTGAACAGACTTAAATTCTTCAAAATGACTTGCTAAGTGAAATGGATTTATCTTCATTTATCTCATGGTTATAAGTTACACAGTACATAACTGATTTCTTATATAAATATATTAGGAGTTATACATTTTGTTTTACCAAAAGCAAACCAAACAAAGAGGTTAGGATTGTATTAAATGCTAAATGCTTAACTTACGTTGTACTGTAGCAATTACTTGTAAATAAGGAAAATCAGTGAATGAAAGATTTTCTATATATTTTATCCTATGTTTTATCTGGGTAATTTTTTTAATCATTCTTATTCCTAATGGATGGCATTTGAGGATGTGTACATAATGTTGATAGGGAGCAAGTTCCC